TTGAAGCGTTTCCAACATTATGTCTTCGTATTAAGGACAAACAAGTATGTTTTATTAATAATACCTTTAAAAGATAATTTCCAACAAAAATAAAAATTGAAATTTAAAACATTACTTCATATGTTCCAACATGTCAACACCAGCTAGAATCATTGCAGTGGGGTTAGCAACATTTCTCCCAGCCATCTGAGCGTATGTATGGCGAGCTCCCTGTCATGAAGAAATGATAATACAGCATCATCTAATATATTTATAATAAGTAATTAGACTATAAACTCGGGATTTCTATGAGGTGATAGTTGACCAGGGGACAGACCAAGTCAACTATCATGCATAGAAATCCAGGGCAAATAATCTGATTGTTTTACATCTAATAGTTGTTCAAAACTTTATATAAATCCTCTTCACAAATACCTCGAAAATGTAAAGTGGCCATCATTTTGTTAACAAGCACACACTGCTACACTACTCACTATCTATCACAGAATAGATAGTGAGTAGCATAGCCAATCAGAGAACAGCATTGGTGATTGAACACTAGTAGATTTAAACTAACATTGGTTAGAATAGTTGCAGTGCGACTGTCTTGCAATGACAACCACCATGACCTTTGGTTTGCTCACATATTGCTCTCATATTCTGACTATAATCACTAGTGATTCTGGACTTCAAGGAAAGAAGCTTGATGTTTTACCCAGATTTACAAAACTTACTGTATATTTGTTACCCACACATTAAAATTCAGGAATCAAATATCCTGAAGCCATTTAATATAAATCAAGGATTAAAAGTTATTCAAAGGTTTTTAGGCCTAAAAGGGATAACAAACAATAAATTTGAGACTTCATGTAACAATGAAACTGAGTGATTAGATATATTTTCAGCAAATCCAAGACTTCTTTTAATTAGCTTTGGAAAAGAAATCAAGACTCAGAGACAATGTTGGTAAACATTTGACACGACAAACCCTGAGATATTTGACTATAACTTTTGCAAGATGCATAATTTGAAAGACATTTTTCCACCTGTTCTTACACTTCAAGACTGGAGTGTGTTATTTTGTGCAAATTTTTAGTTTGTGGATTTTGCCTTCAGATAAGTGTCAGCATAAGATTAAGATCAGTAAGAGACAAACATTTACAATATTTTATGGAAATCACTATCTGTAGCTTCAAATAAAACTGTGCCTATCCTGGAATTAACTGTAAAAAGGTGTTTTGAACAACCAGGCCCAGATGTTTATTAAACAACATTCATCTGACAGTTAAGACAACAAATACTAACTGGCTCAAATATGGCAAAGTTGCTTCCGAGACTTTTTCCAGGCACAACACCAGCTCCACCAACTAAGGCTGCTCCAACATTGTCCACAATACTGCCATACAAGTTTGGTAGCACCATCACATCAAACTGGTGTGGTTTGGCAACAAGCTATCAATCATAGAGAGGCAACAACAAGTTAGGTTACTGCTTATGGATAGTATACTAGGCAAGGCAAAGCCTGCATTCAAGCTTAGTGACCCCTCTGCCATGTTTGAGGTAGTCAAACACAAGAAAAAAACACTTGGAAACTCTCAAACTGCCCAAACTTTCAATTAGGTTATACTTGACATGCTTTCTGGCCTTTTTTGTACAATTGGTGAGTCAATTCTTACTCTTTATGAATAAGCAGTCCTATGGCCTCTGTCATTTCAGGGGAAAAGCAGGACAAACAATTACTATAAACTAACCACATCACAGCAAAGGTAGCTACGTTCACTTGAATGATACCCAAAGGTAAGACTTTGCTGACAAACTAAACAGCTCATTGGTATTACATGCAAAGGACATTGAATCTTTGTAACATGTAAGCCTTGTGACATGGCCACTTAATACCTGCATACAGGTGTTGTCCACTATCATTCCTTCAAACTTGATCTTTGGGTAGAGTTCAGAAACTTGTTCACAGGTTTTTAAAAACAGCCCATCACCTTGCTTCCTGTTGATGGAAAATATAATGATGGAATTAAATAATGTATTAATTAGATGAAAAATATACCAAACCTGTACAATATCCATATTATTTATGGGATGGTAAGCATCAAAGTGCACACAATCCATTTTGTTTTTATTTCTTTGTTGACCTATATTTTTTGTGAAGTATTTATACATGTAACAACCTACATGATGTTTGCCTTGTGAACAGCAGTGACTTTCTGTCTTTTGTGCTTGGTTGCATAATCAAATGCAAACTTGGCAATTCTCTCTGATTTCTTCTTGGTAATAACCTTAATCATTTCTACAACTCCTGGTACACTCTGTGGAAAAAGAACAACACACCCAATAAAACACTCATAGGTGAATATACTTCTGCCGAGTCAGTGTTTAATTTTGTTCAACCATATTATGCTTTGATGCCTGGCTGTAAGAAGAATATCGAGAGCCATACCTCATGCTCCAGACTGGTATATTCACCTTCTGTTTGTTCTCTGATGATTATCATATCTACATTGCTATGCCTAACAAACACAAAAAAAGGAACAAAATTTATAAAAGACCACAGGAAATAAATTATAACATAATCAAGACAATTGTTACCAGGAATATGTTTCTTACTGGATTTGGGGAAGGGAGTTACCTCTCAGACAAATGAGTCTTTTCAGAGTTTTTACTAGTTTTGATAGTTAAGGGTCCTTGGGACCCATTCCAAAGAGTTGGGGGTTCTTTTGGTTGTTCTTTTTTCCTGTGTCCCAAGGACTCACTTTGCCAAAAACCTGTGCATCCTTTTCATTTTTTGTGCTATAAGATGTACACCTGCGCCTTAATGGGAACTCTGATCTTTTGCTCTTATAAAAATTCTTTTCAACTGCCTGTTCATGCAATTTATTAAGTACGTAATATGTAATATTTTTAAATACAGTTATCAACGAAGTCAAATGCAAGAAGTTATAATTATAATAGATATATGTCAAAAGTGAACATTCTGTTTTGTATTTATTTAAAATCTATCTGGCTTGCAGAAATACATTTACCAGTGTCCAAGAAGAAATACAGTGTAAATGAGAATGGCTCACATTTTTTGACATTTTCAAAGCCAACAAGCAAAAAGATGCCCTCCTGAAACTATTGGTGTGCCTGGTCTAATTGCAGAGAATTTTTTATCAATAGTTCACAAGACAAACTTTCCTCTTTCCCAAACATATGAGGTAGTCTTCAGGTAATTACTTACATCTACTACAGTCATGTTGTTATTTATAATTTTTTTCTAGTTCCTAGGTCACAGACTGTTATCTATAAGTTGAAGGGTTTACCTGGTACTAAAACCTGGGAGGCTTTTGCAGTGAACAACATTTGCGAACAAGTCAAGTTCAGTTCTGTGAATGAAATGATCAAAGGATTCAGGCAAATCAATTAAAAAAGTATATAAGGCTATCCAAAAGACAGTCATCTCTTGGTTGTCAATCAGTATCATTTAGAAGCACATGAATGTCCCAGACATTATTTTCAGTTTGTAAAGAAAGATTTCAAGAAGCACAATCAACAAAATAAGTGCACAAGCGCAAGTTCAGTATGGAAGGTGGGATGACCTAGACTTATAGTAATCGGGGAGATTCAAGTTATGGCTGGAGTCATTGCAGTGTGTTTTTGTGCAAGATTCTTCGGGCTATGGTTTTTGTTGTCTCTCTCCACCCAGTTGTATAAATTTTACACCTGGGTGGAGGGAGGCACTGTGAAATTAAAGAATGTTGCACAAAAACACACCGCAATGATCCCAGCCATAACTTGAATCCTGATTACAATTATTGCCGGAGGGTATACTCTGTGATGGACTAGCATCCTCATCGATGACTGTGGATGAAATGCTTCTACATGTACATGTTGTCACTAGAGGTTACAGCTCCAGGGTCTCTAGGTCACTTTGACTCAATAAAGACACTACATTTTTACTATCAATTCAGCACTTACTTCATTTTTTGATTGAGAGACAAGTGATCTTGACTGGTGATGCTTGATGGTGTAGTCAATGCCCCTGGAGGAAATATGAAGTCATAGATTATCAACTCACATTAAATAACATTGTCAATATTTACGATCTTGATAGCCAAAACTATTAAGATGTGCTACAAGTGATGTGATAACAGATTCAAGTAACTTGTATTCTTCTTTCCTTTTTTTTGGTATGAATAAAATATGTTGTTGTTGTTGGCATGTTATTAAATGCCGAAAGATGTACATAGTCTACAACACAAAATGAAAACTTATGATTTGTGATTCTTTAAAAAATAACACTTTTTAAGAATCATGAGTCACCACCTTTCATTACTAAATAATAATATAATTATCATGTGCTATTTTAACACATGGGAAAAGACCTCTTCAAGATTCAGAAAATGCGATGATTAATATGTCTTACCTTTCAACCCTACACCAGTTTTCTTCATTGATTGTACTACATCATCCAGGGTATATCTGCTGCCATAGCTCATATCACTAAAATTAACAAATACCATCAATAGTAATCAATACTATAAAGACAAGTATTGGTTCTCTAGCATATTGGAAAGCAGAATCAATATTGAATCAATATTTAATCACTATCTTACCTAATTGGAATTTCATCCCAGTCAACAGGTGCTCCAGCAGCACTAAACAGAAAGAAGCAGAAGTAGTGATAACATGGAGATGTAGTTTTTGTTTACCTCTAAGCGTGAAAAAACTCAGATATTGATAATAAATCTACACATAGATCTACAGTTCTGCCCAATGGCTTTAATTTGAATGATCATACAGCATTTAGCATTCTATAAACTATTTTGCACACCACTAAAAAAATAAAATGGTATCACCAAGTATTGCTCCAAACCTCTAAAAATGCTGCCAGAATGTGAATTTGAAGCATCTAGTTGATTCAATCTTTGTCATCTACTTTATACTAAACATCCTAGCAGCCAATTTAAGATACCTACAGCTTGCTATGCAATATCTCAGTAATTCTTACTGCTATCTACATGTAAAAACTATGATTTTTAAAGAGAGTGCTACTAGGTTACATGTATTTACATTTGAATGTAAATTTGATAAGCCCAAAGGAGGGTGTGGACAAAACGTGGGGTAGGCCATGGCCTACCCTGTGGCCTACTGGTGGTCAGATTTTTAAAAACATAAACAAAACATCAGTAAGAGTCGAACAAGGAAGGTGGGATAAAATAATATCCCTCAAATGGGGGTATACTAAAAAATCATTAACAAGATTCTCAACATCAGAGGGAATGAAACAATGCAAACCTTACAGCACTCAACCTTGACGCATCCTATTTCTCATTGTCCTCGACGTCTAGCTTCCCCAGCCAAGCAATCAACCATAACGGCATGTTAAGAGGGAGTGGAAGGGCCTGGGGGGACTCCCAATTATAAAAAAGATGGGGGTGCTGGTTGGAAATTTTTGAAAGAACCCTAAGAGGTACCAAGATCCTGTTTTGCGGGCATGGTTTGAATTTTTTCCCTCCCCTAAGGGAGACATTATCTCCTGTCATATTTCGCAAAAGCTCCCGCTGTGGACCTTTTTTGAGGCTAAACACCCTAAGAGGAACCAAAACTGTGTTTTTAACCCCTAAAGATAGAGTTAGTTAGTGACTTTTTAGTATACCCCTATTAGAGGGATACAAGAAATCACCAGGCATATAATTTTATGCCACCTTACTCATTCAACTCTGTTATGCTGTTAAAAATCTGACCACCGGTAGGCCATAGGGTAGGCCACAGGGTACCTGGTCTAGGCCATGGCCTACCCCACGTTTTGTCCACATCCCAAAGGATGTACCTAGAATTAAAATGGTTGATTTCATGAGATTAACAGTTAAGGATTAAATTTACTGGTATACAATTTGTGTGTTACATGTACCTGAAGACTCTTTTCACACTGTGGACAAGCTCGGGTCCAACTCCATCTCCTGGAATAAGTGTTACCAAGTATTTCCCTTTAGACTGTGCTAGTGCCTCACTCTTTGAGGCAATGCCAAATGATCTGGACTTTCCAAAGGTAGCTGGCAAAAGCTGATTCATGAAAAAAAAAAAAAAAGGAAAATTAATATTTGCAGCCAAGATTGATAGGGCGTCTGGTAAGGTAAAGCCTACATTGGGACAAGTGGTTCATACAGCTGGACCTGATTAACCAGTAATAGATTCACTGGTACCCATTTACTGGTACCGTATACATCTGGATGGAGACAGACACTGTGAAAGTAAAGTGTCTTGCCCAACAACACAATGCAGTGACCCCAGCCTGGACTGAAACCCAGAGTCAGGCCGCTCGATCCACAGTTCAGCACATTAGCCATTGGGGTACTATACCTTGACTAATGTCTCTTGAATGAGTATAAAACAAGTTAGCCCTGAACATTATGGTGTAACACTGCAAGCAACAAAATTACAAAAGAATCCACCTCAGATTACACTCAAATCATGATCGACTTCAATACTGCAGTGCACAGTGCTGAAAATCATAAAAAATTATCTCACAGCCTGCCAATTTGCCTGATGCCTGGCCCTTAATGATACCCCTGACTGTACATAACTAATAAATATAATAACAATAATAATAACTTTATTAATGTGTCAGAAGGATAACCCTCAACTACTAGACGACACCTGCCTACAAATTAATAACCAAACCTAAAAATAATTTAAAAATTAGTATATTTACAAGTTGTATACAATGCTTGATCAAAAGAGATTGCAGCTTCCTAACAAGTTTTTGCATAACTTTTGTCATCTAAGGGAAGCTAGGGTTTTGCAGAAATTTTTACAATGAATTTCCAAACAAACCCAATAATTAATCTCATACCATATTTGCACCGGTTCTAAAATGAAGAACTCCATTGTAAAATCGGTTGCTTTCTCCAATATGTACAATGGAGTTGCTCTCACAGTCAACAAAATTTTGTTTGTTGCTGTTGTCCATTTCAGTCATTCCAATGGTTCCATACGTGATGAAATGAAGCTTTCTGGGTATGAATGTGATTTTCATCTATACTAAATAAACCTAAGAAAACTAAAATAGTTATCAGAGCTGTAAATTACCTGAAAACTTTGCTTCAACAACGAAAACCGGCCGAGGGATGGTGAAACCTTAATGGCCGCCATTTTGTAAGTTCAGTGCCGTAGAATTCCAGTGTTTTTACATAACAATAATAACATCCGCTGGCAGAAATGCTTAGGTGTTCATTGTATTTTGCGCGGGAAAATATTCGCGGAAGATTCGCGGAACGTGTTTTCAAGATGGCGGCCATTCCCACCATAAAGAAGCTGGACGAAGCTGTCGTTAACCGCATTGCGGCTGGAGAAGTGATCCAAAGACCTGCAAATGCGCTTAAAGAAATGATAGAGAACTCGCTTGATGCAAAGGCTTCATCTATAACGGTGACAGTGAAATCTGGAGGCTTGAAACTTCTGCAGATACAAGACAACGGGTGCGGAATTAGAAAAGATGACATGGCCATTGTTTGCGAGCGTTTTACTACGAGCAAGCTCACGAAATTTGAAGATCTAAGTTCGATAGCAACTTATGGCTTCCGAGGAGAAGCCCTGGCAAGCATAAGTCACGTAGCTCATGTAGCGATCACTACAAGAACAGCAGAATCAAACTGTGCTTACAAAGCGTCCTTTTCTGATGGCAAACTTGTTCCACCTCGGCCCGGTTTATCTGCCGACCCTAAGCCTTGTGCTGGCAATAAAGGAACGCAGATAACCGTAGAAGACTTATTTTACAACGTTTCAACTAGAAGAAAAGCGCTAAAAAGCCCTGGCGAAGAGTTCGCGAAAATTGCTGATGTGGTAAGCAAGTACGCCATTCATAATTCTGGGGTTGCATTCACTTTGAAGAAGCAGGGGGAGAACATGGCGGATGTGAGAACAGCCAGTGGTGCCTCGATTTTGGACAATATTCGTGCGATTTATGGCACAACAGTTGCAAGGGAGTTGCTGGAAGTGAGCTGCGACAACCAGAGATATGCATTCAAAATGCACGGTTATATTTCAAATGCAAATTATTCTGTAAAAAAGTTACAGTTTTTGCTGTTTATAAATCACCGGCTTGTTGATTCCTCCTCAATGAGGAAATCTATAGAATCATTATATGAAGCTTACATTCCGAAGAACAGTCATCCATTTGTGTACTTGTCACTTGAAATCGCACCCAGTAATGTTGACGTCAATGTGCACCCCACTAAACATGAAGTTCATTTCTTGCATGAAGATTCCATCATTGAGGCCATTCAAAAGGCATTCGAGGAGAAGTTATTGGGGGCTAATTCTTCAAGAACATACTTCACTCAAACCCTTCTTCCTGGTGTTGCAGTGACTGATACCTCTGCAGGTTGGTAGCACCATAACTGACTTTTGATTCAGTATCTTGCAAGTTGACAAGATGAACCAAATCCTGGGCTTTGATTGGCTACCTGATCATATCCCCTTAGGATTACCCACTGTGTCCCACAAGAATTCCTTTACTGACCAAGCTTGCTCAGTCACTATGGACAACTTAGCCAATATCCAGCCATCTTGACCTCATTCTTGGTCAGCAAACCATATTTACTATGTAGCTGGCTCCTTGAGCGGACAAAATGAACTGAATCTTGTGCTGTGACACCCGAGTGGGCAAGATGGGGATCTCTTGCCCGCTTGGAATTACCAAATATGTCCCATGAGAAAACTAAATAGTGTTCTTTTTCCACATAAGTCCTTTATTGACCAAGCCTGTTTGGTCAAGATGGCTGGAGATTGGACTTAGTCAATAACCCATATATCTTAGTGTCTGTGAAGTGACATGGTGTATTTCTGTCCGCCTTATATAGGATGTTAGTTGGTTGTAAATTACTCCTCAGTATTTTTTCAGGTTAACTTAGCAACTTGCCTATACCCATTTAGACTCCTGGATGGCGAGAGACACTGTTAGGGTTAAGTGTGAGTGTCTTGGCAAGTTGAGAACAATGCAACAACCTCAGCTAGCTCTCGAACAAAGGTCCCTCAATCTTGATCCTAGTACACAAACCATCAGGACTCTGTTCCAATAAAGTAACAAAATGAGCCTGCTAGTGAGAGCAAAATGACATAGCTCTTTTTGAATGGCAAGATAACTTATTGCTTTTCATGTTTGAGGAAGCCTCTTCCTCAAATTACTTTATCCCAAAAGCCTCATTTGTACTCAAACAAGCTCACATAGAAATGGATCATTCATTATCTTCATGTCTAGTAACATCTGATGAAGGGAAATCAAGCAGTACTAAAGTGTATGCACATCAGATGGTGAGAACAGACAGTAGAGAACAGACACTTCATGCATTCCTGCCTCCAAACGATCATGCAGATGTGGCAAATGCATCTAACAGGTACAAAGGCTGCCCTTTAGACAGGTTTATATATATATTTGGTGACCAATAGCTCACCAAGACTATTGTCTGATGCTGCATCACCATATGAAGAAGCTAGTCATAAAAGGAGATAAGTGACGATTTTGGTTGCTTTTCGTTTTTCTTGCTCCAAATTAGCTGAATTTTTGCATGTGGTCTTCAATGTAATAGAAAAACGTGATTCTGTATTTTTGTCGCTGGTTTTTGCTTTGTTTTTGAGTTAAAACGTAGGCAAAAAACTTGGCTTTTCCTAGCCATGTCTTTAGGAGTTTATTTGTTG